CTGGTAATCTAATTTTTTGCTTTCTTTTTATTTTTTAACCTTTGTATTTTTTTACAGTTCTCTTTCTATACATGTGGAGTAATTTTTTATTTTATAATATGAAAAGAACAACAACAACAAAAATTAAGTGAAGGAAAGCAAACAAACTTAGCAGATAATAACAGTAATTATATAGAAATGTGATAATGAATAAAATGTTTAATCCACTACAATTGTTATTATTTGCAGCTTCCCATGGAAACTGGAGGACATCCTTTTTGCCTTTCGCCCCTTTCTTGTCTAACTGTGTTTTAAGTCACCCCAAAACCCTGCCCCTTACAGGATATCACTTCTACAGATGTGCAATGATGAGTAGCAACAACCCCTCAACTCAGTCAACCCATCACAAGACCAGCAACAACAGAGTTTTCAAAGTGCCCACAGCTATCTCTTTCAAAGGATATAGACTGCCGGGGGGGGGGGGGAGTGGAACTGACAAAGGGGGGAGGAGTTGAATTGCAAGGACATTTTCCCACTTTTGAACCTTAAGACTGTGCTCCAGGATTGAGAAGATCACAATTGTCTCAAGATAGGCAACTGATATTTAATTAGTTTTTTTTTGTATTATGTGTTATTATGTAAGAATGTTGAAATGTGTCTGACAGTGTGATTTCCACAAAGGGGGGCAATTTTTTTGTGTGTGTAACTGTTTTTATGTTTAATGTCTTATTGCTTGCACACCAATTCTCATGCATTTTATACTTTCTGATAGCTCACACTATTGTGTAGTCCAATGTTTAGATAACCACATTTCATTGTCCCACCTGGCACTCTGCCAACTTTCCCTATCCATTTTAAAATGTGCTAAAACTTGCTTTACCAAGGAGAAGCTTATAAGATACATGAAGGTGCATATGCTTTGGTTTAGCAGGAATGATCCCTTATAGAGTTAAATTGTCTTATTTGGACAAAGTGCCCTTTTAAGAACGGTTTTCCTTTAACAGACTGGTTTGAAAGGTTGAGAACCATGGGCACATAAATTCAAATTGGACTCAGTTTGAATTGGGCAAGTGTATCCAGGCTGCAATTAGCTTTTTGGTCCTTAAACTGCAAGTGAGCAACTTCCCAGGATGCAAGACCAGAGCCTGTAATAATAATAAGAAATCCCATGGATTTTGGCCAAGGCAAAGGCATTTCTCTCAGGACGTGTCCGAAACCTGTGCCAGCTGTGGTGGGTGCCAGGCAACATGAAAGCCCTAAGTGGATTCAGCAGGGATTGCCACTACTGCGACACCATGCCAATGTGAGACCACAGAAGAGCTACCTTGACACCTGAGAACACACAAATGGCAGGGGGGAAGCAAACTGCACTTTTCAGTCATTAGTAGACCTTCCTGCTAGGTGTAAAGCATAAAACACTATTGAGAATGCCACAAGTAATTTAGCAACAAAATACAAGAGGTGTTCTTTATATAATACCCTATATGCAGCTACCTGCACTGCTATACTTGCAAATGACCGTAAGAGGCATGGCTTGCAAGTCCCTTTCAGGTTTGCATAAAGCCACACATCCCATTCACCGAGATTTAGGGTGCGGAGAAAAGATTTGCAAGTTCTTACAGAACTTTAATGCAAATCTATCTCCGAATGGGGGACTGATACGGAACGGAAGGGGGGGGGGCTCCTTTCCCCCTTCCTTCTAGGAACATCCGAGGCCCCGCTTATTCCTATGGCCCTGCTTTAGCCAATCACAGACCTCCTGTTACAATGTATCCATTCTGTTTCTGCTTTTGCCCTATAGTACAGAATGGGTTTGAAATCATTGAAATCTTTAAAAATTGATATAAAATCAACCGTAACTCCAATTTCTTCGCTCTCAGTGTCATTCAACTCAGTTCCCCGTGGACTCCATGATGCTATCCCTACTTCCATAATTCCCGAAGCGGCAGGTCACGTACGCAGGAACTTCTTAATTTGCCAAACCTTCCCTCTAGGCAATATTAAGTGGCAGACGATGCATATCTCTGACCCATTGTCTTGCCACCACCGGTACTCAATAAATGTGTATCTATGTATATTTCCCGCTCCGCATATCCCCCCTCCCTCATCCGAAAATGCTAATTAATGTAATCCCACCTTTTCATAATGTATTCATGACGTGTAAAGTATATTCATGATGTAACTTGTGAAACCCAACCTTCCCATAATGTATTCGTGACGTTTCATGCACTGTATTCTGGGATATGGAGGGAAATTTCAAAAGTTCATGTCACCCCTTTCTCTGGGTTCAATCTCGCCTTGAACCTGTTGCGCAATAAACTTGGATCTTCTGCAGTTTGCTCCTGCGTCCGGCTGAGCTCATTTTCTTCCGCAGGGACCCACGGACTTAGTCCGATGAGCTGGGTGGCAGAGTAACGCCGCACCCAGATTTTAGCCGTAACAAGAGAGACAGATTGCAGGAGTCATTAGGGCGTGAGCATCTTAAGCATCTCCTCCAGGAAAACCACTTAAGACGGGCCATGAGTAAATGAGAGCTCCTCCTTCTGAGCCAGCAGGAACTGGAGGGGCTCTCCATGAGAGCATCCTCTGACAAGCTCTTTTTCCTCCCTCCTCCCCCTCTATCTCTCCCCCCCCCTTCTGTTTATTTCCGGTCTTCTGCATCGCATGACCACCTCTAAAAATAGACAGAAGCGCAAGGCAGCTCTCCTCCGGGAGATGTGGAGTGAAAGTCAGGAAGACGGGTGGAAAGGGGGGCAGAGAAGGAGCTGCCTTCTACCAAATCAGACCCTTCAGTCCATCCACCTAGCTCAGTGTTGCTCACACTGGTTGGCAGCAGCGGCTCTCCAGGGTTTCTTGCAGGGATTTTTCTCTCCTAGCCTTACCTGGAAATGCTGTTGGGGACTGAAGCTGGGACCTTCTGAATGCAAAGCAGATACTTTGGGCACTCCCCTCTAAAAACACATCAAGATTCAAGTCCTCATGGTTCTAAATAAGGAGCTGGTTTATATAGGAAGATAAGAAGCTGCCATAAATGGAGTCAATATTACTGGTCCATCTAGCTCAGTATTGTCCACACTGACTGGCAGTAGCTGTCCAGGGTTTCAGGCAAGGGGCCTTCCTGGAGATGCTGCCAGGGATTGAATCTGGGACCTTCTGGATGAGGAGCAGATGCTCCACTACTGAGCTACAGCCCTTCAAAGGAGGTCTGAGCACATCCAGGTGGCTGAGCATCACAAGATCCACCCAGAGATGAGCAGGCTGTCTCTTGGAGGAGTTTTCCAACTCTTTCTGAACCCCAGTTAGATAGATAGATAGATAGATAGATAGATAGATAGATAGATAGATAGATAATCTCCTGGAGGGGAGCTGGAATAAATAACACAACAACAGTGACCAGCAGGTGGTGGCAAATTTCCTGATCAGCCCTTCTTTCCTTGCCCCCCTCTGCACCAGTCCCCCCTCCCCACTGCATGCATGTGCAATGCAGAGCCAGCCAAGCCAAGCCAAGTCAAGCCAAGCCAAGCCAGCAACAGGTGTCAGTCTTCGTCAAGCTTGTACTATTTTTATCCACAGGGCTTATCTCCTTGTCGTGGGAAGGTTTTTTTTGATGTAATCTTCCATCTCTCTCTCTCTCTCTCTCTCTCTCTCACACACACACACACACACACACACACACACCGGCCACCCAGTGTCTCTCTCTCTCTCTCTCTCAAGAAGGAAAACAAACTGCTGCTGCTGCTGTTGCACAGGAGGAAATAAGAGCCTGGGCTTGAAAGACACTCTGACATCCAGCCAGAGAAAGCTGGAGCTAAACTGAAAAACTTGTTGCCGCAGGAGGCAGCAATGACCAACCACTTGGACGGCTTTAACAGAGGATGGACAAATACATGGAGGAGGAGGAGGGGCCTACTGATAGCTAGCAGCCATGATGGCTGTGATCTGCCTCCACAGTTGGAGGCAGCAATGCTTCTGGACACCACTTGCTGGAAACTGCAGGAGAGTTGCTGTAGGGCTCAGGCCTTGCTTGCGATAGAGCCTCCAACTTGAGCAGAAGATTGTGGGGTGTCGGCGGCGGCGATGACATGTGCATGACGCAGTGGTGAGCCAGGGGGCTGAACGTGGCAGCAGCAGACATGGCAGGAGGAGGAGGAGCCACCAGCCACGGAAGCTGCACCACACAGCTCCACATTCGGCCTCCTCTGCAAATGATTGTTCTCAACATTCTCCATAATATTTTATGAGATGGGGAGAAGGGACTTGGCCCCTTATAGTTGGTGCCTATGCTTGCAGACTTCCCATGCAGGCATCTGGTTGGCCACTGTGAAAACAGGAGGCTGGACTAGATGGGCCACTGGCCTGATCCAGCAGGACTCTTCTTGTATTCAGAAGCATTAGCACCTCTGATATTGAAGCGAGTATATAGCCAGCATGACTTGTAGCCACTGACAAGACTTGCCCTTCATGAATCTGTCTGGTTGATACCCAACTGTCTTGGGAGACAATGGAGAAGTGCGCCCTTTGAGTGAAGTTAAATTGCTGGAAGGTTACAGCACCTGCTGTGGCTGCAGAGACCAACACGGGAGAGACGTCTTGTTAGCAGTCACCACCGTGGCAAAATCCTACGTGTTATGTTTGCTTAGGAATACAGCTAGCTATCTCAGTATGGTTGACACTGACGGGCAGCGACTCTCCGGGGTTTCAGGAAGTGGGCATTCCTCAGGAGACAGCAGGGATTGAACCTGGAGTATTCAGAATACAAAGCAGGTACTCTGCCACTAAGCTGTGGCCCTTTCCTTAAAAATACAAGTAAGATTTTGATCCTCGTGGCTCTGAATAAAAATACAAGTAAGATTCTGGTCCTCATGGCTCTGAATAAAGGACTGAACTAAGTGGAACATAGGATGGTTCTCTGCCACTCAGGCAGAGCCCTTGCTTCCCTTCCACTGTCCTGAATCTACCAATCCCCACCATCACATTGGCTGCCACCTGCTTCCCAGAGTCCCCACCACCAGGTGACTCACCTGAGGGCTGCTGGTTCCAAATCCAAGGCCAGGGGTGGAGGGTCCAGACATGGGGTGAGCCCCCATTGGGGAGCTGATGACTGAGAACGGTGGCCCCATGCCGTTGATGGGTGAGTTGAGGGTGCTGATGGGTGAGTGGAGCTGGCCAGGGGACCCCAAAGCCCCACCAATGCCAGTGCTCATCGACGGATGGAGAGAAGGTGCAGTCATAGGCCCTCCTCTGCTGTTCGGAGAGCTTAAGGAGGTGGAATTGACTGGGCTGGAGAAATCTGTGAAGCGAAAAAGGAAAAAATATACACTGTCAGTTGAAAAAGAGACCAGGGGATGTATTGCATATCTGTACTAAATAGGCCAAATCCCTCTCTAAAAAAGAAGAAAGTATAAGGCTAATATTTCACTGCAGGGAGTTGGAATAGATGACTCGTAGGGTCCTGTAGAACTCTACACTACTGTGTTTCATTCATTCACAAACACACCACCCACCCCTTTCCGGGAGAAATACTGAAAGCACTAACAAACAATAAAGAAATTAAGTGATTAGATTTATTTGTGTATTTATTTACTTCATAAAAATTATGTACCTCTTGATTGTATAAAACCTCAAAGCAGTTTACAAAATAAAAAAATACACACACACTTCCACCTAAATTTATTTATTTCATTTAATCCAAGGAGTTACAAAAAGCATAGCAAGTGCTCTACCCAGTTTGCTATGGCCCTTCTCCTAAAAACAAAGTAAGATTCTAGTCCTCATAATCCTGAACAAAGGCTTGAATTAAACAGGAACAAAGGAAGCTACCTTACACTGAGTCAGACCACTAGCACATCTTGCTCAGTATTGTCTATGCTGACTTGCACCAGCAGCTCTCCGGGGTTTCAGACAAAATAATAGAATTGGAAGAGACAATATCTAGTCCAACCCCTCTGTGATGCAGGTATATGCAGCTGTCCCTTTAGGGGATTGAACCTGCAACCTTGGCATTCTCAGCACCACTCTCTAACCAACTGAGCTATCCAGGCTGGCAGGGGTTCCCAGCCCTACCTGGAGATGCCGCTGAGGACCTGGGACCTTCTGCATACAAAGCAGATGCTCTGCAGTAAATCAATTCAGATTCTAGTCCTTGTGGTTCTGAATAGGAGGACAAATTGAACAGGAACACAGGAAGCAGCTATAGCCCAAGCCAGACCATTGGTCCATCTACCTTAGCATTCTCTACACTGACAGGCAGCGGCTGTTTAGGGAACACTCCTTTGGGCTGAAAAAGACTCCACACCCATGCTTCCAATGTACCCACCAATGTACACCCAAAGTTGTTGTTTTTTAAATGAATGTGACAAGCATATGCATACATTATTTATTTGTTGATTTCTTGAAATGTCGAACCCGCCCTTCAAGCGAGTAAATTTCAAGGGCAGCTTACCAAAAATAAAAACAGAAGCACATCCAGGGTTTTATTCCTGGGGGTAGTGTGGGGGGACTGGGCAAGAGAGGTTGTCAGTCTTCCCCAAGGGTACATTATGCTGCCAATCCAGGCTTGACAGGACATGACATGGGAAATCATTTATTTAAAAGATGTAGATGCTGCCACTTTGTGAAGCTTGAAAATAATTAAAAAGAACCACCAGCATGCACCTCCTCTGTAAAAGACGCTCTGGGGCACCGGAGTTTGGGAAGCGAATCCCTTAGCCCTCGGAGTGATCACAGGTTAAGAACCAAGGATGCTGCCTCAGACCAACGCAGACCATTGGCTAAACCACCTTGAACAAACTGAAGCTACACACGATCGTAGGAGGGCCTGCTGGATCAGACCAATTGCCCATTTAGTCCAGCATCCTGTTCTCACATCGGCCAACCAGGTGCCCATTCTGGGAAACCTGCAATTTGGACCTGAGCGCAAGAACACTCTCCCTTCCTGAAGTTTCCAGAAACTGGTATTTAGAAGCATTTTTGCTTCTGACTCTGGAGGAAGAGCATAGCAATTGTGGCTAATAGCCATTGATAGCCTAAGCCCTCCATGAATTTGTCCAGTCCTCTTTCAAAGCCATCTAGGGTGGTGATAATCACTGCCTCCTGCAGCAGCAAGTTCCATAGTTTATGCACTGCATGAATAAATGACTTTCTGTCCTGAATTTACCAACATTCAGCTTCATCGGATGCCCAGGATTTATAGCCTCATGAGGGGGGGGAGAACTATCCACTTTCTCTATTCCATACACAATTTTACAAAATTCTATGATCGAACCTGTCAGTGCAACCTCTGCAAAGACAACTCTCCAAAATGCTTTTAAAAGCAACTGAGTTTACTGGTTTTGACACCAGAGAAACACATTAGCAGAGCATATCATTCTCCCTGTAAATTGCATCTATTTCCTTCCACGTTAAGTGATCTTTATGCATTTCTAAACTTTGGTATATTTCCATTATGCTTAAAAATCTGACCTAAATCTATTCAAAATTTGCTGAGTGATTGCAGTGGGTGGAAGGCAAAACCAGACTGTATGCATGCAATTCAGGCCTGGGCCTACAGGCCGCCTAGAGCTCAGGAGCTTCATCTGAATAATAAAAGACAGAGGGAATTCTAAAACCCTCCAATGACAATGTTAGTAGCTGGCAGGCAGCCAATCCCTGCTGAGATAGGGCCAGTGTTCTGATTCGCTTATTGTAGCATTAAGGTGACCTATCACAGGTGGTGTGTGTGTTTTGCCTGGGCCAGCTTACGGTATATATACTGGGCCAAGTGCCCCTGTTTGTCATTCTTGTTCTTCTTGTTCCTGATGTTCCAACAAATCCTTTTTGAGCTGAATCTCCATCATGCCTGAACCCACCTACACTTCAGAAGGGATCCATCCCCCTCACCTGGCAAGGTCCAGGCAATACCTTCATTCTTCTAACTCAGTAACTTCTGTGTGCCAGGAGGCAGAAAGAAATTAAATAAGATATTGGGAGCTAAATTCATCCACCCACCCCATAGGTGGTTCCCAGCCACATCTCTGCATGATTCCCTGATCTGTTTCTGCCTTCTTCCAACCTGTGTCCAAATGGGATATTATTGGGATCATTTGCATGCTCTTTATGGAGAAACACTGAAGAGCAGCCACCTGCTTAGAGGAAATTGTTGGCTAAGTCTCTGCATGAGTCACCGCGCTGTGCTTGCCTCCTCTAAGTCATGCTAAGTACAGTAATTCATGCAGACACTGTTTTGAGATAGGTCAGTCCTTTCAGAAAGGTGTCCTTTCGTCTTCTGAAAAGGTAAACCTTTCCCCAGCAAAGCCTGCAGATCTAATGAGTGCGGTGCTGAAATCCTTTAAATTTCTCAAAACTTTGTTTCCCTTACAAAAGAGACCAGTTTTTCTGCCACATACCCAGGGCATGTCACCGCTATGAGATGGCCATAGGTGGAACATGCATTCCCCCCCCCATTAGATATTTCTCCAGCAAACTGCAGCCTCCCTGGTCACCCACTCTTCCTGATCTGAAGAAGCCTGGTCAGAGCAGTTATTTTACAAATTATTTGCCTGGACTTCGATTGAAGTGTGAGAAGTCAGAGAGCCTGCATATTTTTATTTCCCTTAAGCATATCCCTAGCACTCTGCAACCCCTTGCCCAGTGGCTGAGCTTCCTTATATGAAAAGGGCCTATTAATGGAGTTAAACTTTGCCTGGGCTTTAGTTAAAGGGTGGGGAATTGAGGAGGATGGAGAATGCAGACCATGAGCGAGATGGCTTTTTCCTTCCCTTAAACATAACTCCAGCACATTCCATGGCATCCCCAGGTGCCTGCCCTTCCTGATTTATTTATTTTTTGGTGGGGGGCCTGTGGTGTCTTCCCCCTGGGCTTTGTTGGAAGTGTAGAAAGTCAGGGAGACTGCAGAGTGCAGATAGTTGGTGAGATGGTGATGCGATGAATGAAAGAGCAAATACTCTCAAAACAGCCCTCAACACCCTCAAAAATAAAGCGCATCAAAAACCCTGCACTGAAATTTTCTCTTCCCCTTGATCATTTTTAAACACAAGTTCTTTCCCCACTAACTGGTGGAGAATGGTTAGAAGAAAAACACAGGAGAAATATTCAGAACTGTGCGGCTTTTCATTGGTGGGGGGTGGGGTGGAATATACTTCAGCTACTAAAAATTTGGGAATGACACACATGCAATCCAACATGACGAACTTAGGATAACATGAGCAAAGAAAACATTAGAGGAGCTAAAGAGCATTTGGCTCAGATTATCAGACATATATTTACACACAGTTTCTTCTGTCCTCCCCATCTCTTTTGATGTAAGGAGAAATTAGCAGACTTCCTCAGGTATTAAGGCATTTCCCAGGAGCTCAAAACACTTTCACACACAAACCTCAAAAAATGGGTCTAACTACCACTGCATTCTCACCTCTACAGATACCTAAGGGTTTTAAAAATCAACATACTCCAGACTTTAGATCCTGTTCCAAAGTCGCCCAAACATGACTGTGTTGTGCGAAGCCGTGGCAACTTTACCACTGGAAAACATGAATGGAAAGGTACAAACCCTACTTCCCCAAGGCCTGTCAGAATAAAACAGTCTTCACCTGCTGGGAGAACAACAATAAGGAGGGAGGAGTCCAGGTTCCTCCCCAGCAAGGAAGTTTCCAGAGTCTTGGAGCAGCCACTGAGAAGGCCCTCTCCCAACTTCTATGTCCCCTGCAAGTGTGCTTGTAAGGGTGGCAGGTCTGAGAGAAAGGCGTCTCCCAATGGTCTTAGAGCCCAGGCAGGAGAATGCAGTCCTATGCCACACACCTCTATCACATATGCTGTGAATGTGACCGGATCCTCCATGAATTTTTTCAATCCATAATTGAGGGCTTAGTCTCTAAAGACTAAGATCAGGCCAATGGCTGATCTAGTCCATCATCCTGTTCTCACAGTGGCCAACCAGATGCCCCAATGGGAAGACCAAAAGCAGGACCTGAGCCCAAAAGCCCTCTCCCCTCCTGTGGTTGCCAGCAACTGGTATTCAGAAGCATGGCCGCCTCTGACCCTGGAGGCAGGACACAGCCATTAGGGCTAGTAGCCATTGATAGCCTTTTCCTTCTTTTATTACTCCAGCCTTTCAATACCATTTAGGTTGGTGGCCATCAATGCCTCCTGTGGGAGAGAGTTCCACAGTTAAACTATACGCTGCATGAATTTTCCAACATTCAGCTTCGTTGGATGTCTAGCCTGAAGTGGAGAATCTGGGGTTTCCGTGGTTGCAACAAGCAGCCTATCAGGTTTTCAGTGGTGACTGTATTGCTACCTGACTCCCAGCATGCATTGGGATGGCTCAAGCCCGACCCATATTGGTTTTTCTTCCGGGAGGGCTCTACAACCATGAGACGCCAGTATCACACTTCATCCTTGGGGGCTGATACGAATGAACAAGGAAAACCTGTCACGACAGGCAGGCCGACAGGTTGTCCAGGATCGTTACGGCCTTTTAATTACATTCAACTGCAGTTTAATGGGCTCTAGGCAAGTTGGAAATGATGTAATGGACTACGTGTGGGGAGGGGAGCTTTGGCTGAAAAGCAGAGAAGTTGGGTTTTGGGGCTGTTGATGTGTGTTTCTTAAGAGCAGTAAGAAAATATAAGGAGAAGAACAAAGAGAATTGGTTCTCTTTCCTGACATTCGTGATGTTAAATTTATCACTCGCCCTATTCAGGCAGATACTGACAGCCTTAGCAAAACAAAAAAAACCCATATAAACAAATTCCAAAACACCCAAGAGACAGGCAAAAATATGCAACTGCAAAATGGAAGTGGATAGACACACTCTGTCCTCTAGGTCTATGCTGTCCTCCTTCTCTTTCCCTCCTCTTTGTAATGCATGTTGGCTGGAAAACGGCATTGCAAAATTCAGAGAAGTGTGAATCGCTGGGTTTTTCAGCTCACATACTGTTTTGGAAAGCGCAAACTGGGAAGGCCAATCTTTAAATGAAAACCGAACCAAACTTCTTCCCCAGCCACCCACCCCCATTCCTAACCTGGAACCAACATGAAAGCGGGCACCACATCTGATGCGAGCACAGAAGTTAAGAAATATAAGAAGAGCCTGCTAGATCAGGTCAGTGCCCATCTTGTCCAGCCTCCTGCTCTCACAGTGGCAGAGCAGATACAATGGGAAACCTGCAAGCAGGACCTGATCACAGGAGCACTCTCCCCTCGCTCAGTTCCCAGCAACTGGAATGCAGAAGCATTACTGCTTCCAGATATGAGTAGCTATTGATAGCCTTATTCTTCTTCATCTGGGTTGGTGACCATCACTGCCTCCTGTGGGAGGGAGATCCGTAAAAGTTATTTGCCCAGAGACTGGGCTTGCCGTTGCTCTATCACAGAGCTAATGCTATCTTCTCAACAGAAGTTGTTCAGCTGGAGCAGAGGGGTGTGCATTCCGCCCACCAGTGGGCAAGAAGGCTTTACCTAGCTGATATTGACATGTTACGGATGGGTATCTTGGGGGAGGGGGGCATGGCAGTAGCTTGGGGTGGGGTGAGGGGGAAACAGCCTGAGAACTGCCTGTCTAAGTGCCACAGGAAGAGGCCCAGCCTGATAGGGGAAAGAAGATATGTGTCTGCCAAATGGCTGGGAGCAGAGCTTGGCTCCCTCTGTGTACAGGACAGGGGACTTCCTTTTAAAGACACAAGGCTGGATTTCACTCCTCCTGCTCACACAAGAGAGCTCAGCCTCCCTAACAAGAGCGTAGAACCTGCCGGATCAGGGCAAAGGAGGGGCGCATCTCATCCAGCCTCGTCTTCACACAGTGGCCAAAGAGTTGCCCATCATGGGAAGACTACAAGCAGGACCCAAGCACAAGAGCTCTCTCCCATTCTGCAGTTTCCAGCAACTAGAATTAAGTGTTACTGCCTCTGACCATGGAGACAGAGCATGACCATCATTGCTAGTGGCCACCAATAGCTTTCTACATGAATATTCTCAATCCTCTTTTAAAGCCATCCAAGTCAGTGGCCGCCATCACTGCCTCCTGTGGAAGTGAGTTCCATAGTTTAACCATGTTTTGCATGAAGAAGGACTTCTTCTTTTAAACTTTCATTGGACATCCATAGTTTCAAGTGTGATGGGAAATTATGAGAACTGTAGTCCATAAATAGCTGGAGGTTCCATGTTTCTGCTGGGAACCTAGAGTCATCATATATTAAGACTTGTATTATGGAAGGTACACAGATCTTTAGGATTGCATGCATGCGGCTACCTATCTTGGGATTTATACAATGCAATGCAACAAACTTTATGGGTTTTTTTCCACTCCTCCAATTGAATTGTCTATTTTGCCTCTTCTTCCCTCCCTCTCCCCAGCCCCCAGCTTGCATCTGAAACAATTTTGCAGAAGGGAAGTGGTTTTGGAAATGTTTTGAGGCCTAGTTAGATTGTGAACTCCCCCCCCCCCATGGAAACGAAAGATGGTTTGTTTCAACACCCATCTTTTTTGGGTCTACATTCCTTAACTGGCTCAGAGCCTAATTGGGAACAAGCAAAAAGTTCTTCCATCAATGAGTCGCGCTTGGTGGTCCTGAGGCAACACGTGCGCACATGCACACACACTCACACACATTTTCCAGGGTCACATTCCCTGACCCCAACTTCCTCCAACTCCCAGCCCAACACAGCCCCAAGTTAACTCTTTCCTTGCTGCAGAGATTCTGATTGCCCCCCTCCCCACAAAACGCACCCATTCCACACACCTGCTTTGTTCAGGGCAGCGCAATGGCAAACTGGAAGGGCTGAGCACTCCTAGCCAAAAAGAGGTTTGCAGCTGATGTTAGGTGGACACAGCATGGTGTAGCGGTCTCCTTCTCAGCCTTTCTCAACCTGGGGTCCCTGGATATTGGACTACAATTCCCATCATTCCTAGTCAGTATGGCCAATGGATGATGGAAGTTGCCGTTCAAGAGCATCTGTGGACCCAAGGCTGATAAAGGCTGCACTAGATATATATATATATATACAATGGAACTTCAAGGAAATCTGTAAAAAATATTGAAGCACTCCAAATAATTTGTCTATGTTTGTGTGTGCAGAATAATAATAATAATAATAATAATAATTATTATTATTATTATTATTATTTATATCCCGCCCTACCCAGCTGAAGCTGGGCTCAGAGCTGCTAACAACAGTAAAATAATACAGCATTCTAAAATCAATTCATTATAAAATCAGTAGTAGATCTACTTAAAAGGCAACATGTGGAGATTTGCATTGATCGTTGGAATGCATCCCTTCTTCTTCTTCTTATTATTATTATTAATAATAATAATAATAATAGAGTGCAAGACTATTTGTATAATCTTAAAAGATCTTAAAATCTTAAAAGGGAGCATGGCTACAACTATCATGAAGAGACAGACTCTGCACTTCCGAATTTGCCACTACACTACCGGCTGAAACCTCCAAGAGCCAATATGGTGTGACAATCAGAGTCTTGCATCGGGGCTGGTAATCTCCCTGAAGCCACCCAAAAGAAGCCTCAGTTTCCAAATGCATCCATCCTCCCACTCATGCCCATTGCCTTTTCACAATTCCCCAAGCTGCATGTGTATAGACATCCAGTGACCAAAAGTGGCAGTCTGCCAAAGTGTGCAGGCAATCTGCCATCTGCCCATGAGGCTGAACAGGTGATTTCACACTATTTGGGTGGCAGGTATAATTAAAAACAAACAATAACAACCTTCGGTCCGTGGTTGTGCAATGGCAGCCTATCCAGCCATCTCCGTCTGTTGCACAGAGTCACTGGGTTCAGAGATCTCAACCAGACATGCAATTTACTGTCCATTTTGGTTAAAAAATACAACCTGGGTGATGCAACATTTTTTTAAAAAAAAAATTTTTGCTGCAGCAACTGAGAGTGTGGGAGAGAGAGAGAGAGAGAGAGAGAGAGAGAGAGAGCACTGAGTACTGAGGATAAGAACAGGCCTGTCTAGTCCAGCTTCCTGTTCTCACAGTGGCTGACCTGATCCCTGCCCCCAAGAGAAGTCCACAAGCAGGACCTGGGTGAAATAGCAACCCTCCCCCACTTGGGATTTTGAGAAACTGGACCATCTTCCCTTCTGCAGTTTCCAGCAACTGGTATTCAGAAGCATCAATGCCTCTGGCTGTAGAGGCAGAGCACAACCATCACGGCTAGTAGCCATGGAATAGCCCTCTCTTTCACGAATTTGTCCAATCCTTTTGTAAGGCAATCCGTGTTGGTGGCCATCACTGCCTCCAGTGGGAGACAGTTCCATGGTTTAACTATGTGCTGTGTGTAGAAGTCCTTCTTATTCTTTGCCCTGAATCTTCGAACGCTCAACGTCCTGGAAGGCCCTCGAGTTCTAGTGTTATGAGAGAGGGGGGGAAACTTTTCTTTCTCCTCTTTCTCCATGCCATGCATAACTTTATAAGCATCTATATCCCCTCCTACTTGCCTTTTCTAGAAAGCTTTGAATGCCGCACACTTTCCTCATAGAAGAGTCACCCCATCCCCTTTAGCATGCTGGTTGCCCTTCTCTGAACCGTCCCCAACTCTCGTCTTACAACTGTAGTCTTACATCTTCCCTATGTCCCTTTCTTCAAATGGTAAGATATATCATTACACTTGCTCCAAAAGGCAGTAGAAATCAGCCCTGCTGCTCCTTCTGCCAAGGGGCCCCTGGATATCTGCCCTAAAGTCTCAACATAGCAAATTGATGGTGACACTAGAAGCTTGTTTCTTGTACCAGAGTCAAGCTCATCTTCACACTTACAAGAGATGCCTGTGCTTTTAAAAGACATGGTGGCAGAGACTGGGGTGGGGAAGGAAATGACTGGGATAATGTTAATTTGCTGGGGGCACTATGTGATCCACAGCTGCTGCTCTCGCAGGACTGGTGGGTGATTTATAGAGTTCTTATGTGCAGGAAACTCCTTTGCTGTCTTGCTTTCCTTCATTCCCTGGGTCCTTTTCTCTTTCCCAGAGTAGAACCACCTTGGAAAGTGAGCAAAGGCGTTGTTCATACATCATGCACATGATTTATTTCACTCACCCAAAACGCCAAAGCTGCCATTGGATGCACACGCACGCACACACATGTCTGCAAAAACAAAACAAAAACAAAACTACTTACTGGAATCCCTGATCCAAGATGCAAGAACCTTTGGTAAAGGGCTGCAATCATCTCATTGCATCACACCTATACAGGCCATTGGTCCACATGTGAGAGGGACTTATTGGGATGCTGCCAACAATTGAATCTGGGACCTCCTGAATGCAAAATGTGCTCTCCCACTGACCTACATCCCTTCTCCTACACACAATGCAATATCCTAGTCCTCATCATTCTGAGGAACAGACTGAATTAAACAGGAGCACAGGAAGCTTTCTCATACTAAATCGGATCATTCATCTAGCTCCATATTGTCTACACTGACTGGCAACAGTTCTCCAGAGCTCTGGGCAGGGAGCCTTTCCCCACCCCAACCTAGAGAGACTGAGGATAAAACCTGGGAGCTTCTGCGTGCTGAGCAGATGCTCTTAACCACAGAGCTATGGCTCTTCTACTGAAAATAAAACAAGATCCTAGACCTCATGGTTCTGAATAAATAGGAACCTGGGGATCTTCTGCATGCAAAGGAGATGTTTTACTGCTGAGCTGCAGCAAATCTACAGTACTCTGGAGAGAGCCGAGCACCCTGATTAGAACTTTGCAAAGACATTTCCTCAGAAGCAATCCACTGTCTCTCTTCTCCTTGCAGAGCTGCCCAAATCATTTCCCTCTTGGCAATTGGCTTCCACCAAAGCCCGTAAACAGCCACAGTTTTGGGAAAAGCCCAACCAAAGCTTCTGCATTGTCTTCTTCCTTCCAAGCATTAAAAAAGCGCAGACTCAAGGTTCAGCCAGCTCCTTTGAAGCACTGTGTGCAACTTCTCTTGCTTAACCCAGAAAAGCTGTTCTTAATAAAGCCATAACAGAGGTGCCCTTTCATGGTGCTTGCCAGTGAAGGGTGACTTTTACCGTTTCAAAGCTGTCCTGGAACAACACATTGAGGCTGAAAGAGGGCTGGTTCGTGTGCTAATCAGAAGGGACGTTCCGAAAACCAGGTCCCAGGTCAGGGGAGCCAAATAACATCATTATGATGTTTCTAACAGTTATATAGAATGCTCACAAAGCAGTAAGAGAATGCCACAATCAGATAACCACTGGTAAAAATGTAAAATCAGCAATCGAATTATATATTTGTAGAGTTGGAAGGGCATCTAGTCCAACCCCTTGCAATGCAGGCATAATGCAACTCATCGTCTATAAATGTAGCTGAGACAAGAAGGTAAGAGCTTGAATGTTATGGGACTATGTGAATTTCTTCTAATATGCACATAGGAGTGTAGGAAGCAGCCTTATACCAAGTGTATTGTCTACACCAGTGATGGCCAAACTTGGGACTGTTTTGGGACTACAACTCCCACCATCCTTAGCTATCAGGATCAGTGGTCATGGATGATGGGAATTGTAGTCCCAAAACAGCTGGAGGGCCAAGTTTGGCCAGCACTGGTCTACACTGACTGACAGAGGCCCTTTGAGGATTTCAGGCAGGGAGAATTGCCCCTGGGCTGAAGAAGACTAAACAATAGTCCTTAAAAGTCAAGTAAGGGTCTAGTCCTCATGATTCTGACCAAAGTGACAAAATAAGTATGAGGCGTAGAAATCTCAGTGCATCTGGCTGGGCTTCATGGCAATTGACCTGGTTCAGCAGTGCTCTTTTTATGTTATCAGATCAGTGGATTTTCCCATTAGGGTATTTGGTTGGGCACTGAGAGAACAGGATGCTGGGGCAGATGAGCCATTGGCCTGATCCGGCAAGCCCTTCCTATGTTCTCAGTTGCAAGAAGAGAAATGTCTGACTAGGGCTAGAACTTCAGCCCCACTTCCATTGCAGCAATGAAAAGGATCCTGCACCTCTGACTTTTTTCATGCCACTGAATCTGCTTCGAATTTCCCAAAGAATGCCAGATCCCCAAGCAGACCACATGGAGAGACTCAGCCCCATTGTGATTCTAAGCCATTCCTGGCATGCCACAGACATAGCTGAAATATTTCCGCCTAAGCAGGATAGCGGACAAAGGGAAGTGGAAGCCTGGGACACCCTGTGGGCGCAAAGGGGTTTAGAGAGCAGCAAAACCACAAGAACTCCACGGCTCTCTAACCACTGTGCAGCACTGCCTCTCTTCCTTCCATGCCAAGCAGGCTAAAGCATGCACTTTGCTATGCTTGCGCCCCAAAATAATAAGATGGGTGGTTCTACTGGCTGGTCATAAAAAACGTAAGAGCCTGCAGGATCAGGCCAAAGGGGGACATGTAGAACAGAATGCTGTTCTCATAACCAGATTGCCTGTGGGAACCCTGCAAGCAGAAGCAGAGCACAAGGACACTGTCCCCTTCCATGGCTTCCAACAACTGGTATTATGCAGAAGCATTGCTGCCTCTCACTGTTTAGGCAGAGCATAGCCATCATGGCCAGCAGCCACCAACAGCCCTCTCCTCCTTGAATTTGTCTAATTCATTCAATGCCATCTAGATTGGTGACCATTGCCACCTCCTGCAGGAGGGGAGTTCCATAGTTTAACCACGTGAAGAAGCCCTTCCTTTTAGCTGTCCCGAATCTTCCAACATTCAGCTTCATGGTAGGCCCCCTACTTCTAGGTGTCATGATGGAGAAGATCTCTTCTCTACCCACACCCTCTCCCCCAGGAAGAGCAGTGCAGCAAGGCCCTGGAACTGGAATCTCAGGTCTTGGCACCAGCTGGAGGAATCCGGGGCCTCAAGGGGGTTGCGTCACTTCTCTTCAGGTCTGGCCAGGCTTCCCATCCACATACACACACACCGCAAAATTCATTCTAGCCCTAAGATCTGGGTGTTGCTGAACCTGTTTCTCCAAGTGTCTCGATTCTCTCACACACACAGCTCCATCCCAGTTGGGAGGGCAAGTCTCAACAGCTACGCTAGTTGTCCAAGAGTCAGAAGCACAAGCCTTTTATGCCACCATCTCTCCCATCGCAAGTCAGGTAATAAATGCAGGGGTTGCTCTGAAAACCCAACCCCCCCCTTTCATTGCAAACCCTTCTCTACCTACTAGGTGTTAGAATTGCCTAACATTTTTGTTGCAGCCCCAGGAAATATGCAGCTTGAAGCCATTTTTTTATTGATTGATGCAGTGTGTGTGTGTGTGTGTGTGTGTGTGTGTGAATAAATTATGTCCTGTTTATAAGTATATGTTGTAAGCCGCACTATTTTCTGCAAGGAGAAATAAGTAAAATTTTATTTTAAGTTTTATAGAGAGCCGGTATGGTGTAAGTGGTCAAACTAGGACCTGGGAGGACAGGGATGAAATTCCAACTCAGCAATGAAGCTCATTGGGTGACTCTGAGGACAGTCATTGCCTCTTAGCTTGATCTACCTCAAAGGCCTGTTGCAGAGATTGAATGAGGGGGAATAAAACCATGTACGCCACTTTCAGCAACTTTGTGGGGGGGGGGAGTGGGATGTGAATGCAATAAATAAGGAAGAGAATACACGAGTATAGTGATGTATGGAAGTGAGAGCTGGACCATAAAGAAGGCTGATTGCCGAAGAATTGATGCTTTTGAATTATGGTGCTGGAGGAGACTCTTGAGAGTCCCATGGACTGCAAGAAGATCAAACCTCTCCATTCTTAAGCAAATCAGCCCTGAGTGCTCGCTGGAAGGACAGATCGTGAAGCTGAGGCTCCAATACTTTGGCCACCTCATGAGAAGAGAAGACTCCCTGGAAAAGACCCTGATGCTGGGAAAGAAGGAGAAGGGGACGACAGAAGATGAGATGGTTGGATATTGTTCTCGAAGCTACCAGCATGAGTTTGACCAAACTGCGGGAGGCAGTGGAAGACAGGAGTGCCTGGCGTGCTCTGGGCCATGGGGTCACGAAGAGTCGGACACGACTAAACAACAACAGCAACAACATACACGAGTAGCCAACAGTAGTTGCAGGGAGAAGGTCAGGAGGGCCAATTCAGACTTGCGAGAGAGGTTAAAAAGAATAAAAAAGGTTTCTTTGAAGCAGGAGGAAGAACAAGCAAGTGGTAGGTCCTCTGCATATTGGGTGGCAGAGAGAAGACGGAACTACTCAACACCTACTTTGTCTCTGTCTTCACCCAAAAGTAAAGCAGTGCCCAACCTGCTCATAACAGAATAAACCACGCCAGGAGGGAGCTCCAGCCCAAGAGGAGGCAAGGAGACACCTAGCTACTTTAAATTAATTGGGTATCAATATAACTTTAACAGACTGGAGAACTGGGCCCAAACTAACAAAATGAAATTGCATAGGAACAAATGCAAGGAATGCTAGGCAGGAAGAATGAGATGAATAAATGTAATGCATTTGTAATACAGGGGGACCCCTGACTTGCCAATAGCACATATGAAAAGGATCTTGGGGTCTTAGTAGACCCCAAGCTGAACATGAGTCAACGTGGTGATGATGAAGCAGCAGCAGCAAACGAAAAACAAAAACAAAACCCTAGTACAGTGGTACCTCAGGTTACATACGCTTTAGATTACATACGCTTCAGGTTACAGACTCCGCTAACCCAGAAATAGTGCTTCAGGTTAAGAACTTTGCTTCAGGATGAGAACAGAAATCGTGTGGCGGCGGTGCAGCGGCAGCGGGAGGCCCCATTAGTTAAAGTGGTGCTTCAGGTTAAGAACAGTTTCAGGTTAAGAACGGACCTCCAGAATGAATTAAGTACTTAACCCAAGGTACCACTGTACTATTCTAGGCTAAATCAACAAGACTATCATGTCCTGATCAAGAGAAGTAATAGTACTACTCTATTCTGCCTTGGTCAGAGCCGGTGTGGGTTAACTGAGGACAGGGCGTGCTGCATATCTGTGCAGGGAAATAGCATGAAGAGGCCAGAGCACCAGGTATTAAGGGTCTCAAGTTAGGTGCCCCCCCCACAGGGATCCTTGTCCCGCCCTGCCTGCCACTGTGGGGTCTCTGGGCTCCAGAGCCCGGCCTGGGCTCACCGCCACATCACTGGACCCTCGCTGACTGGGGCTAGTG